TTCATTGGGGATTGGTAAAGCTGGGTACACTAGCATTACTTTCTTTACCGGGGTGTAAATTGAGATGGGAAGAGTTGGCCTTAAGCAGCTACTGAACTCCGCTTCTCAGACTGTTCGAGTCAGTGAATGGCTTCTTTTAGTACAATTAGAGACGTCAACAATACGCTGGTACGCCGTACGTACGCTTCGGTGCCGCGCAACTACCACCAATTGCGCGTTGACTAAGGATTTGAACCTTTTGCATACGGATTGAGAGCACGCTGATAACACTATTGATGCTGTGGAGCGGAAACTAGTCAAATGGGAAGACGAGGATACTTTTCTCCAACGCATCTTTCTGACGAGAAAGTGTTATTTGTGTTCATCTTTAGGTATCTTTATACGCAGTCACTTGTCAGGAATACATGCTGAGACGCCCATAGATATGACTAGTTACTGCAGTATTACAGGAGCAAAGCACCTTAAAACAGCGGTAGAGCTCAATTTGAGGCGGGCCTGCTCATTTACTGGATGAGTTTTCTCCGTTGCGCCCTGGAAATTACCAATCGTTCTCGATAATCTGGCCGAAAATTGATCGAGCGATAAAGAAGCACAATAATCTTCTAAAATCTCAGGAGTCCGGAAAGCGTATAAGTTGGTCGCGCCCGAACAGAAATTTTGGCGGTCGAACTGTTTGTTGAGCTTGGTAGTTTTGTTTCAAACCTTTCGTCACCAATCGAGATGACATCATCAGTGCGTAGTTACTTGGCGTGCAGTAGCCTAGAGGCTCTTCTACGCTACTGCACTCCACGCAACTACACACTGACAACATCACCTCGATTGGTGACGAAGCGTTTGTACTAAAATTGCCAAGCTCAGCGAGCAGTTCAACCGCCATCTGAACAAACTGTGCTACCAGTCTTCAATTCTATAGTCAAAATATATGTTTTCAACAGTCAAATTGCAACGACGGGCGAAATATTGTGGTGCTTAAATTGGCTCCTAATGCGAAGGCAATGCCGTAGATGTATTTCCGCATAGTGCGAGTAACCGGGAAATGCTCACCGGGATGTTCGTTGGAGTGCTGTAAGAATTTTTGTCCCTAACCATTTATATGGGGTACATTTAGACAAATTTCCGTCACTCCAAATCTTTCAGCGCAATCTTAACATTTTTCCTGGTCGCAAATACTGTAAACATTTAGCGGAGACCGATTCACCTAGTAATAGTATATTGACGACGTAAGGCTACGCCAGATTTTTGGGATTCGTCCCAGACTTGTCACTCGGACGACCACGGGGACATAGGAGCGTCACTCAGCGGTAGGGTATCGGACACGTGCGCTGACTGAAATATGATTTTATTAAAAAGTGAAGAATCATGGGCAAAGACCGTTGATGTTAATGGCTCATTATACTACGTAGTCATCTTTCGACATTACCATACTCAGTTTCCCGTGCACTTAAGTAAAACAATATACGTTACGGATGCAATGATGCGCAAGTTTCGCAGGATATACCGAAAGAGTAGTCGGTTGACTTGCACTCTGGATACAGCGCATCAAAGAAACAAGGTCTTCCAACAAGACTCAAAAGTAACCAGGCTCGTTACATGAACATTACAACGTACTTTTTCTTCTTCCACCCACAGTTGTGAACATTTTTGCTTTTTGGGGAAATACGTCCCTGGCCAGTGTGGATTACGATGTATTGCGACGTGCAACAGGTTAAATTGCATCAAAATCCGGTAGAACTAATGGTGGAGTGCTGCAGATTTTTTCCCGAACACCTGAAATTAGTGTCAGTGGGACTAATTTCGGGTGGTCGTGCTTAAAGCTATTTAGGGTTAAGAAAGCTTCCACATGTAGCGCAAATAACGCTATTTATCATGAAAAGCAGAAACTGTGGCATACGAGTAGTCTCGAGGAAATTTTATCCGACCGCCCCCTGAAAGTCCCAAACATGTTCCGTTGCGGCTTTTCTGGGACTCAGAGGACTGCCAAAGGACTCCAAGGGACTTTCGAAGGACTATCACGAAACTCCCGAGGACTGTCAGCGGGACTCTCGTGTTAGCTGGGATGGCGCCCTTCTTCCTCAAACCAGCCATGGATGCAAACCGATCACATACTAATGATGTGTCAGCTGTACGCCGTAACAGTGCTTCGCTGCCTCGCGACTACTACCAATCGCGTGCGCTGAGTATACCGCGAGGACACCCACCTCTACGCGGGCTGGACTCGGTGACCTTATGATTGCATGCCAGGCGTGCAGACCGCTCGGCCACCGGTCGATCACATCGTAACCATTTACCGCTGAAGAGGATGCATCCAAAACAGCCACTCTATTTGGGACATGAGCGTGAACTCTGACCACACACTTGTTTGCGCCGACCTGCGGCTGCGTTTCAGCGGACCTCAGCAGCGGCACCGTGAGCGCATAGATACTTGCCAACTGGCAGTCATGCGTTCTGATTACCCGCTGTCACCTTTCCTCTTCAATTTCGCTGTTGACGAAGTCATGGAAATCGCGTTCACAGGACACGATTTAGAAGGTGTGGATCTGCTTCCAGGAGAACGACTTATTGACTTAGAGTATGCTGATGATATTGCCATAGTCTGGGGCAGCTCCCAGACGTGCCAAGCGTCACTGGACAGATTAGCACTAGCTGTCCGTCACTTCGGGCTTTGCTTTGCACCATCGAAGTGCAAAGCTTTCCTCCAAGATTGACAGGGATCGCCTCCTACTCTGACCCTTTGTGCGGATCAGCAAGAAGTCGTTCCGAAATTCAACTACCTGGGAAGTTGTATCAGCGCCCGTGGGATTGAAGATGAGATCACGAACTGTATAGCAAAAGCTCGGACGCTTTTGCTAACCTTCGCCACTTATGGCGGCGACGCGACATCACACTTGCCCTGAAAGGTAGAGTGTACAATGCAGCGGTACGTTCGACCCTACTGTACGGTTGTGAAATCTGGCCCCTTAAAGCAACGGACCTGAAGAGGCTAGTTACGTCCCACCATCGGTGCCTTCGCAATTTAGCTCACCTATGGTGGGAACACCGCGTGAGCAATGAGCGTGTTCGACGCCTTGTTTACGGCACAGGAAAAGGAACTAAACCGCTCAGCGCTGTTATTTCACGCACCGGGCTCCGATGGCTCGGCCACGTGTTACGCATGCCAGCCCACCGACTCCAGCGACGTGCGTTGTTTACGCGCCGGGGGTGTGGATGGAAGAAGAGGAGGGGTGGCCAAGCGATGACTTGGTCGAGAGTAATGGAGTCCCTCACTTCTGAGCTGGCTTCGGTTGGAACGTCTCGGCTCCCTGGTTGGGGTCCGAAGGACGATGAACACGTTTGGCTGGATACACTTACTGATATGGCTAGGAGCCGACCTCAGTGGCGTTCGTGCTGTGAGTTTCTTTGTCCCACCCCATCCCTCTTAGCCCCCCTTCCAACCACAATCTCATAAAGCCTTTTATAATTTTTCATAGTAATTTTTTTGATGCACAGTAGCCGGTTGGTGGTTTACCGGAACGATGCGCATCCGTTACCGGTAGCTCAATGGGCTTGCATCAGTTGCTTTTTTCTCCATTTTTTCTATGTATTGCGTCACAGTAGCTGAGATTTTCCCACTTCTAGGTAACGTGTATGATGAAGATTATGTTCTGATTGCTTATCAAAGTACACTGGCATCCAAGCTGGCCAAGCGCTAATTGAACACATTTGGAGATCACTGGTCGCATATGTACCAGACATTACTAGCAGCAGGCATGTCTTTTTGTGGCATTTCAAGGTATTAACCTGGTCTCTACGCAGTCTCCTGAACTTCTGGATGCTCGCCGACGTGTTCCGGCTGAAAGCGAATGCAATGAGACTCGCAAAGTTCTCAGGGCTAAATTGCGTGCTATTCTGAGGAGTGATCGCGAAGCGTGTTGGTCTCCTTTTGCCTCGGAGATGGAGACAATCGCTACCCTTGGTAATCATCAAAAGTTATTCTGTCTGATACGCGAAACGGGCAGCAGCAGACCTGGTGTTAGCAAGACGATACGCGACGAGAGTGGACGGCGTATCCACAACTTGTCAAAACTCTTGGAGCGTTAGGCCGAACACTTAGAAAGGCAGTTCAAACAGTCCGAGTTGCCATCTTCATCATCGGCCAATGACCCACTTTCTCCAAGGCATACTTGTTAGACTGCCTAGAGAGGGCCAGATGAATTGAGACTGGGAGTGCTCAGTTCAACGTTTCATACGCCTACGCAACTAAGTGATTGTTAGTCCACCAAACTCGCAACTAGCTTCACTGAGGCCAGATTTTCTGTGGTCAATTGTCAGAATGATCTCACAAAGCTTGCGAAAATTTTTAGCGAGAGCTGCTATAGCTATCTCTAAAGCGCCCTGAGACCACGAAGTTTCGCGGTCGTTGCGAAAACTGCTTGTTGTTAGTTGTTGGGGCGGGCTTCGCCGCTGCTTGAATCAGCTGGGATAGCTCGGCGACGATCAAACAATTTCACAGAGCGAGCAGAGATCCAGCCTCTCAGAAGACGCCCAGCGATTCCCCATTATGATTGCCTAGAAGAAAGTAACGTCTTCTACATGAACTTAGCTTGGATTTCATGATGGAGTGTTTTGTTATCGAATCTCACGATGTAGGCATCGAAATCACAACGGTGGTATATTGGCCATCTTAGATTATTTAGAAGGTCCCGTCTTGCTGTTTGTCAGTCGCAAGGGGCACCGTCCATCCTGGAATGATACTGTTCTCTTTCTTTGGCTTCACACCTCTTTTATGTTCCTATTATACATCAAACACCCTGTCAAAGTACGAAAGGTGAAGAGACGAAAGTCAAAATTCCAGAGTGATGAAATTCTGTACAGTGGAAAAAATACAGTGTCACAGTCCAATATAGGATCAGTGACGGGCTGAAATGAAGGAACGGACAGTTTCAGTTCATGGATATAAATGCTAAAAAATGATTAATTTATTTGGATTTTTGCCTACTGTACTTGCCCACTTTATTTTTTCAGGCCGCTCATCTGCCACCACATGCCAACTCAGACTGGTGTGAAAACAAACCTTCTTGATCTGAAGGCTGAACTTTGCGAGTTAGTCAGACAGCGAAAGTCACTCACCGTAGGCTTGTATTTTCACCTATTTATTTGCGTTTTAGGAGACTTTGGCAGCCCTTGAACGTCAGATCTACCTTTTCGAAGGAAGTTATCTTGATGACACAGCAGCCTATGGGAATATCATTAGAGGATGGGACAGATATTTTCTCTCCACCGGAACTGCGGCTTCCGGGGGAGCGAATCAACCGAATTTATCCGCACCGAACCGCACAGCTGGTGATAAACGTGTACGGAAATTTCGAGATTCTGATCGTTTGTTTTCTCGTTCCTCGGTCACTTCCCAAGCTGTAAGTTTCGATTATTTATCTCATCCTTTCTCCTTGTTCAACAGTCATTGAATGCTCAGAACGATGTGACAAAGAGTAAGTCATAACGCCAGATTGTTGCATGCATTTATCTTTCGTTTTTCTCCGTGTTGTGCTGCACAGTACATTTTTCATTTGTGTTTACGCGCCAACTCATTTTCCCTCATTCCTACTTATTTCACCCTTGAATGTGCATATTCAATCTGTCACCTCCTTATGGTTATGCGGATAACGCCGTTGGACTCCCACTTCCGGCTTTTGAATGGTCTGCTACGTTTTAATGCGGTTTCGCAGATTACCCCATTTTGTTCATTTCTGCACTGTACCACTTCTGCTGTCCGTCTAATGGTTTTTCTCAAATTCGTCTATTACGTTCTGCTGCACCGGGCCACCATCATCGGTATCGTTAATGATCTCCACTCAAATATGAATTAAGTCTACAACTTTTCTAACACAGAATGCAAAAGGTGAAGAAGAACCTAGCGTAAACAACAGGGCCTGCAACTTATCAGCATCAAACAGCCACAGGTAACTGGTTGTCGTGACACGTAGATCTGCACGGGGTCTCAATATCTAACCGCACTCGAAGATGTTCAGATGAGATGGGTTAGTTGCTCAATGTTAGGCAAACTCGGTCATAGGAACTATTTGGTATATTTCCCCGTGACCGAAACGATTACAATCCTACCTTGTAATCCAACGGTCGCGGTTTCGAGCGTCAGGTACCGGGTGGCTCTCGCAATATCCTTAACCCACGCGCGACTGGTAATTTTTGCTGGGCAGTGAAGCGTCGGCGTACTGCGGATGCTTCAGCCCTTTTCCCCGAAGTGGAAGATGAGAGCTTTAGGGCTGTAAGCAGACCTCAATTGTTTTGGAGCACTGGTGTCACATTTGGCTTCTAATGATGGAAGATTGAACCATAAATAAATAAATAAATATATTAGAATGTTTATTGTTCCATTGAGCTCATCAATCTCCCGATTGATAGGTTTTCGTCTCCATTACTCAAGCAAGTGCGTAGAAAAAGGAATAGACTTGCAATTACAAGCTAACTGCTCGTGTCAACTGTCTGTCTGTGGCTATTAAATGCCGAGATAGGATGGTTAAACTGCATATAAATTCAAGCGGTGTTAGGAAACCAAAGTATCCGTGACCTGTTAATGTTTTTAAGCAATTCAGCAGCACAGATTCCAGTAGCCCATTCTGTACTGTGGATGTGGATAACCTCAACGCTGTATTTCACCTTATCATCAAACACGTTTTCCCTACTTTTCTTCCCCATCCATGATCCTCCCGCCTCAGTTGACCACATCAGTGTTTACAGGGAACTCACAAAACATCATCATCATCATACTACACGTTAGCTGGAGGTGGGGAACACCTCAGCTACTGTGCCGCAATACATAGAAAAAAGGAGAAAAAAATCAACTGGTGCAAGCTGGCTGAGCTACCGGTAACGGATGGGCCTCCTTCCAGTAAGCTACCAGCCGGCTGCTGTGCATCAAAAAATTACTATGCAAACTTATATAAGCCTAAATAATGCGATCGTGGTTGGAGGGGGAGGAAAAGAGGGATGGGGTGGGACAGAGAAACTCACAGCACGAGCGCCACTGAGGTCGGCTCCTAGCCATATCAGCAAGTGTGTCCAACCAAACGTGTTCATCGTCTTTCGGACCCCAACCAGGGAGCCGAGGCCAGCTCAGAAGTGAAGGCCTTCATTCCTCTCGACCAAGCCATCGCTTGGCCACCCCTCCTCTTCTTCGATCCACACCCCCGGCGCGTAAACAACGCACGTCGCTGGAGTCGGTGGGCTGGCATGCGTAACACGTGGCCGAGCCATCGGAGCCCAGTGCGTGAAATAACGGTGCTGAGCGGTTCAGTTCCTTTTCCTGTGCCATAAACAAGGCGTCGAACACGCTCATTGCTCATGCGGTGTTCCCACCAGGTGTGTGCTAAATTGCGAAGGCACCGGTGGTCGAACGTAACTAGCCGCTTCAGGTCCGTTGCTTTAAGGGGCCAGGTTTCACAACCGTACAGTAGGGTCGAACGTACCGCTGCATTGTACACTCTACCCTTCAGGGCAAGAGTGATGTCGCGTCGCCGCCATAAGTGGCGAAGGTGTTTTAGGACTGGCACCAATCCTAACCTCTTGAAAGTAGCGAAAATAACACATGTGCTTAAGAGGGAATCGCAGACGTATGTCACTAGCGTGCACCTCTTTGTTCCTGCAGGTGTCTGAAAAACTACTAATTCCCCGCTTCTTTACAAGCAGTCATAAGATAGATATCAACAGTTTGCATACAAGCCGGAGTGCTCTGCATTGAATGCCTTTTCGTATCCTGTGCATTCCATTGAACCCGCTTTAGAAACAAGTTCAAGACTGTGCGGCTGCTGTCCCTTGATTACGCTGATGCCTTTGGTAGTCTTAACAGATAGTTACTACTAAACCTTTTGTTCGAAAACGGGGTTCCCTCATACGCATGTAGTGTAATGCGTGGCTATTACACGTATTGCACACACTTCACACATTTTTGCGATGGAAGATCTTCCGCAGTTCCAGCCAGTTGTGATGTCATACAAACAGCTCTTCTGTCCTTTCCTTCCTGTTTTCCCTCCGTGTTGAGTTTCTGCTCATACCAACCAGTTTCATCAGGTGTAAATACGCTGACGACGTCGTCCTAATAATAATAATAATAATAATAATAATAATAATAATAATAATAATAATGTGTCAGCTGTACGCCGTAACTGCGCTTCGCTGCCGCGCAACCACCACCAGTCTCGCGCGGGCTGAGTATACCGCGAGGACGCCCACCCCTACGCGGATTCGAACCGGTGACCTTATGGTTGCAAAGCAAACGTGCAGACCACTCGGCCACCGGCCGATCGGCGTCGTCCTAGGGTGTAGAACCCCAATAATTAAAGAAACCTTGCAACTCCAGCGAGGATTGGACCAACTTTTGATTTGGTTAAGCTCCCGCTCCCTTTTCCTTAACTTCTAAGTGTTGCGATATCACATTCTCTTTTCTCCGTTCCGACGGACTGCGTTCTTTTTCATACACCTCTCCTCCTTTGGTCACCAATAACCAAAGCATTCCTCGTTTATATACCGTAAACTATTTCCATGTTATTTTGTCTTAAATTTTATCCTGGTCGACACAATCTTCAGACTTTTCTTAAAGTCAGATGGATTCTTTTACTCCCTTAGATTAAAAGTACTCTCCGTATCGCCTGCTGTAATTCTATAATTTGTAAATACATATATTCTCCACCATTGGCTGTACTGTTCCCCGTTCTTTCCCCCGGACTTCTCCAAAAGGATTATGCTTTTCTTATGCGTTCACTACAATTTATTTCCCGGTGCTCTGGATTAAAAAGAGAATACCTTGTTGATTTTGTGGTTAGGAAACATTTTTACGCATGCTCTAATTTTTCCTCCATTATAAATGACGCTTCTCACCCCTACACAACATTTTAGCAAGTATTGCATCTATTTCTTCCACGCGGTCGAGATTTAAAGTTTTATTTTCTCATGCCTCTTCACATCGCAAACCCATCTTACTTTATCTGTCTCGCTCATTAGTCGACCCCAGAGTGATGATGCATTAATTTCGAGAACGTTTACTTGCTTGAAAATGAACTCTTTTTGTTTCTCTTGTTATTTTGCATCGTTTTCCAACCGGTTCCTTGTTGCAGTGTGTCCGCAGTTTTGGTCTAACTTGCTGAAATTGCTCCCACATGAGTGCACAAAGTTATCTCAACTTGACTTGACTTGTAGACGGCAATATAAGGGTATCGCAACCCGTTGGGAGCCGGTGGCCAAACATGTGGTTCATACGTCTTTAGGACCGCATAGGACCAGCGGCCCAACACACCCCTGAATTACAATGCTGCTCAGAGAGAGGCAAGGGGCAATGACTTTATTTAGCGGCGTGTCACTGCCACATCACGGTGTTGTTAAATAGACATGTGGCTTTTTATAGGGAGATCGTTTGCCAGGCGAAAACCCACCACATTCTGGAAAACTGCTGCCAAACCATTCACTGGAGCGAGCTAATCCCGAACCACTTAGCTGACACCACGAAGAGAGTGTTCAGCAAGCTAGCAAGTCTTGTGTTTGGCTCGAAATGGCACATGACGTGGCTCACAGTCAACGCCGGTGGTGCTTTTGTTGTCGTCTCCTAGTGACACTGCCTGTTTAAAGTGTGTTTGGTACTTAGTCGTCTATGGGGTAATGGCTGATTATGATAATGAACAATGATTTATGCCGGGTAAAAAAGCAGTTGCTTGACAAGTCCCGCAGAATGGTGGGGGTAAAACTACAGTTATTAAAATATAAGTGCGTTGTCTGATTGAACGTTTATCTAGGAGATACGCTGCAGAATAATAGTAGTGTAAGTGGGAATTGAATGTGAACGACGAGGTGAAGGGGGACAGTTATAGTTGTTGTACTCTGTGTGAAAAGTAACCACGAGATTCCTCACTTCTGTACCGCCTCCTCATATTTATGTACCATGTTAATCCGGGCAGAGCAGTGAAAGCTCCAAGGAAGCTGTCTCGCTAATGCCGCCTTATCTTTGCACGATAGCCTGCTGTTTGTGACGCTGTGTTGTTGACAACGTGTAGGCGCCTCGATCCTGTGTGTTTGCTTGAGGCATTGCGTTTTTCCGGTGAGTCCCCACTCTCTCCCTCTTATTATTTTCTCTTTTCGTAAGTCGTTGTAGTTGTACGGAAGTGAAGCATCAGTTCAAATGGCTGATTTCATGCTATTCATGATGAGTATCTACCCGGACTTGGATGTCCCATCGGTTTTACCGCACAGCAAACTTATCAAAAGTCGGCAGGTCACTGCATCCATCATCCATTCAGTTCAGTCGAAAAGAAATCTATATATATATATATATATATATATATATATATATATATATATATATATATATATATATATATGTGCCCCATGCTGAGGCTGATGTTGCATTGTTGATGCTTCTTCACCGCAGTTGGGCTAAACCAACTTACACTTAAACTAGGTCTCTTTATGCTGCATAAATTTCATT